GATCAGCGAGCTGCAACCTTTGAACAATTGAATAATTCGGTGTGGGCCCTAATCCCGTTCTCTCTCCTGTTTTCCCAGTGGAAGAAGAGAAACCGTCGTTCTGGAATGAACTGGCCGATAAAGCCATTCGGAAAGCCAGCCGGTTACAATACCGCAACTATCAGGCCAAGAACCTCATCCTCTTCCTGGGAGACGGTGAGTAGATACACCAGGGTGAAGCCTAACCAGGCTGGAGAGACTGCTGACTCAGAATTATTACACTCTTTCTTGTTCTTTCCCTCTCTTTTTTTATATGGAATTATTGTAGCATTTGATTTTCTCCTTCCAGTGGCTTTGGAAATGCCGCTTCCTCACTCAAGATTTTCCCAACCCAAAGTGATGGTTTCAGTTTTGTAAGATAGAATATCTCTGCATTTGCTTGTATTTTTAACCCCCAGGTTATGCTTTATTGATGGTGAACAAATCGAATTAAATATTGTGAATTATTATTATTATTATGATGATGATGATGATGATGATGATGATGATGATGATGTAGTTCCAATAGTAATAGGGGCCTTGGGTGCAATCCCAAAACAAGTGGAGCACCACTTGAACACCATCATTGGCATTGACAAATTCGCCATTAGTCAATTTCAAAAGGCGGCCTTACTAGGAACTGCTTCCATCCTGCAACAAGATCTGTAATACCATCAAACATCCACATCTGCCTATCCCAGGTCCTTGGCAAGGACTCGATAGGTAGACAAAAATGCCAAATCCAGTCTGAACATCTGGCTGACTGTGCGATGATCCATCATCATCATCATCATCATCATCATCATCATCATAATGTTGGAAGGGACCTTGGAGGTCTTCTAGGCCAACCCCCTGCTCAGGCAGGAATCCCTATACCATTTCAGACAAATGGCTGTCCAGTCTCTTCTTAAAAACTTCCAGTGTTGGAGCATTCACAGCTTCTAGAGGCAGGTTGTTCCACTGGTTAATTAATTGTTCTCACTATCTGGAAATTCCTCCTTAGTTCTAGGTTGCTTCTCTCCTTGATTAGTTTTCATCCATTGCTTCTTGTCCTGCCTTCAGGCACTTTGGAGAAGAGTTTGACTCCCTCTTCTTTGGGGCAGCCCCTGAGAGATTAGAACACTGCGATCATGTCCCCCCTCGTCCTTCTCTTCATTAAACTAGACATTCCCAATTCCAGCAACCGCTCCTTATATGTTTTAGCCTCCAGTCCCCTGATCCTCTTTTTTGCTCTTCTCTGCACCTTCTAGAACTTGAACATCTTTTTTACATCTTGAATTTGAACATCTTTTTTAAATCTTGGCAACCCAAACTGGATGCAGTATTCTAAAAGTTCTTTAAACGTGTTTCTTTTGAGCAGTTGACATCCTTCCATCAATCAGTCCATTCCAGGTTTGGGTGTCATCCCTCCACCTTTCAGCAACGTCAATCGTATCCTACTTGCCCTCATATACTAGTCCTTCAAGTTCCAGAGCTTGGGTGCCTAGACACGAATGCTCAAAGTATGAGGAACAAAGAGGGAGAACTTGAAGTGCTACTACACGAAGGCAGATACGACATTGTTGCCCTTACCGAAACTTGGTGGGATAAAACCCATGACCGGAACATACAACTAGAAGGATTTAACTTCTTCCAAAGAAATAGATCTAACAAAAGAAGGGGTGGAGTTGCACAATCTACAAAAAAATGCAAAAAAAAGGAAAAGAAATCAAGGATGAAAACCTTGAATGCACTTGGGTTGATGTATAGGAAGTCTCAACTTATGAAAGAGTACAGAGAAGAGCAACAAAGATGATCAGGGGACTGGAGGATAAAACATATAAGGAACGGTTGCTGGAATTGGGTATGTCTAATCCAGGGGTAGGCAACCTTGGCTCTTTTATGACTGGTGGACGTCAACTCCCAGAATTCCTGAGCCAGCCATGCTGAGGGGAAAGGGAGAGGTTTCCAAGCTTAGCCATGCTGGCTCAGGGATTATGGGAATTGAAGTCCACAAGTCATGAAGGGGCCACAGTTCCCCCACGCTGGCTCAGGAATTCTGGGAGTTGAAGTCCACGAGTCATAAAAGAGCCAAGGTTGCCTACCTCTGGTCTAGTTTAATGAAGAGAAGGATTAGGGGGGACATGATAGCAGGGTTCCAATGTTTGAGGGGCTGCCCCAAAGAAGAGGGAGTCAAGCTCTTCTCCAAGGCGCCTGAAGGCAGGACAAGAAGCAACGAATGGAAACGAATCAAGGAGAGAAGCAACTTAGAACTAAGGAGAAATTGCCTGGGAGTGAGAATACTTAATCAGAGGAATGGCTTGCCTCCAGAAGTTGTGTGTGTGTTGTCATCCAGTCTAC